GCCACAAGTGCAAGGCCGCGCTGAAGAAGAGCATGCCACTGATCTGCAAAATGCATCAATAACAAACTATTCTAAAATATTGGTACTAGTACTATTGTTCATAGATGCATCTTCCTAAGAGGATTTTTCCTGCAACAAGTGGGATCCTACCAACAAACATGTGAAGAACCGGATCAAAGATAGATACAGATAGCTACAGGTTTCCCCAGTCTCCTGCAGATCACCCTAGGGTTGGTCCAAGGGAAAAACTCCCAGGATTCCGCTGGAACAAAAACCATCCAAGAATAGAATTTTCTTGACATCTTCCCAACAAGTATTCTACCAGGTGAGGCTCCCCAGTGATGTTTGTTGGTTTATAAAGTTTATAAACATTATAAACCCATTAACCACAGATGTATCATGATATATAATGATTATATCTACCATAAACCATAGTCATTTGCCACTGACCAGAACAGCTTGGTTGCATATGTTTCTTGTCTGTCTTGAGCTGATGATCCCAGTTTTTCCGATCATTTTCTAGCACTTTACAGGCGGTGAAAGAGTTGCAAACGCCATGCATTTGGGTTTGTCTCCTTTTTTTGGTGAACAAACACATCCAGTGGGATGACAAAGATTTTCCCATAATTCTCCCATAGAATTATTCAAATTTTACCATGATTTTCTCATAGGATTCTTCATTTTGCCCCTATTTTGAGCATCAACATTGCCATAACTTGCCATTTTTTATCTCGGTAAATCTCCGGCCCAGGCAGTACACAGGGCTCTTCGGGGTCGGGCCGGCGATCACAGCGTCTCAGCCACTGGTGTGTGGAGTCCTAGCCTAAAATGGCGAAATGGCATGGTAGATCATGGGTGAATGGTGGTTTCAAGGTGGGGGTAATGGATGTTGATGGATGTTGATGGATGTTGATGGATGTTGATGGATGTTGATGGATGTTGATGGATGTTGATGGATGTTGATGGATGTTGATGGATGTTGATGGATGTTGATGGATGTTGATGGACATATTCGTGTTTATGTTATGTGATTTAGTTAGCCTCTGATGGACAATGCCCATTTAGTTTGATGATTTTTTGATTAGCATGGTGATTTTCCAAAGCAGACGGTTAAATTACGACAGGGTAATGGATGTTGATGGATGTTTATGTGGATATACACTTTTTGGCGGAGGAAACGATCATATTTTTGCGAAGCATGACTAACTTTTTTTGGGAGAGTATATGAGGCTGGATGACAGGAATTAGTCAAGGAAATCAGAAAACACGAAAAACAATTAACCATTTGACTGTCTTTTTGGTGCTACAAAAGTTCACCTACATGATGGGTCTCTATATCTGCAGCCGCAAGCTGTCCGGGCCGGGGGATCTGTGGCCTGAGGTATGGAAGCTTGGCTTCGCCAGTGGTGGGTGGCGGAGCCGAGATTTTTGGCAGGCACTGGGTGAACCTTTTGGATGGCCATTTAAAATTTAAGTAGACCTTATTTTTTTGAGCGTTACATTATCTGGTTGGTGGTTTGGAACATTTGTTATTTTTCCATATATTGGGAATAATAATCCCAACGGACTAATATTTTTCAGAGGGTTGAAACCACCAACCAGTTATGATACACGCTGCAAATACATACTGACATATACTAAGCAACTTAAGTTCTCAGCGTGGTCTTAAACTGATTTCCGTCACAGTATGATGAGGTGATGTATTTCAAAATCAAACCTGAGATGTGTTTGTCCACAGGACATTTACCCTCTAAACTGACAGTTTGCTTAAAAGATCAGCATTTTAAGAACGGTAAATCATCGAACTAAATGGGCCATAGCCTAGCAAACTGTAACAAATTACCAAAGGGTACACCAACTTATGGCCATAAAACCATGGGGAAATCGCTTGTTCAAAGTCATCACACCTTGTGATGATCCAGGCACCATGAGACCGAGTATCCACCAGCTGCCTGAGGGTCCACTGTGTCACGATGATATTGAGGATATTTACCAACACTCATGGTGACAAAGGGATACATCCTGGCGATAATTATAAGATATTTAACAGACAATGTGCATGTCAATGTTTGAATATGCCCTGTTAGATCGTATTTTTGTTTTTTCAGAGACTGTGACACTGTACCACCGTCAGTGAACCTGCATTCACTTCCCATGGAGATGGAGGGAAAGAACTGCGTCGAAAACACGCTGGGCCTTCTGGTTTGTTCTTTTTTGTTGCCGCACTTCCTTGTTTTTTGTTCAAGGTATCCAAGGTCACAAAACTATCTTCCTATTTTGATCTATTTTTGGGGATGGTCAGGATGGTCAGCAAATCAAATGGACCGATGGTGCCTTACACGTATGGGCACTGTATGTATCGGTATGTAGACCGGGTAAGATTAACATAACTGCAAAAAAAAACATATGTATATAGGATCATGATTTTTAATGTGGGCAAGTGGTTCCGGTGGTTCCATGTCATGTTTGTTTTATTGGGATAAAGAGGAAAATCGGCGCTGTGCGCCGTACCTGGTCCTGTACATGCTGGAGACTGCATATCTACGCACTTACGTGTATACTCATTCACCCAAAGCTACACAACCACATGGAATGTACGCATACTTATGTGCACATACAGACACATACATACAAACATACACACAGACGTATACTGTAACAAAAACACATAGATGCATTGCACATAAACCATCATAAACCATCAGAAACCTTTACGTATCTATGTGCACCTGAATTCCAAGACGTCTTGTGATACTTCCTTGGCTCGGCTCAAAGTGGCCCAGCTTTGGCTGCAGCGTGACCCGATGAACCTGATAAGAAGACAAAGGATTCTCATTCAACATTTTGCGGTTGAGTCATTCCCAAGTGAGGAGAATATTGGTGCACTCAACATTTGAATGAGCCTTCAAGAGAAGCGTCCGGCATTCAGAGTCAGTTTACAGACGCTTTCGTAGAACATATTCTTTTCAATGCATCGCACGGAAAACTTCGGCGAACTCTGAGGAGATTGTCGGGATCCACCAGGGTGATCCCTGACCTGCTGGTTTGTTGGCGACAGACCATTAATCACTGCCTTTCAGGGAACATTCTATGGGAAACCGCGCAAGGGTTTGGTGCGCACAGGAGCTTGGAGCTCGCAACTGCCAAAGCCCATGGAGCGCTATTGGGTGCCTTTGCCTCCAAAAAATGTGTGAGATTCGCAAAACGAATATTTTACATCCATTGTCCATTGTTGGGAGGAGAATTTGGGACACGAAGATATCTTCGAATAAATCCATTTAAGCTTCGTGGGCCAATGGGAATCGCAGGAATTCCAAGCACCAATCTGGATCACCCTGCGTAAAACGACATGGAAAAAACATGAAAAAACCGCTCCAGCATGTTACAACCATTTACTGTCCATACATGTATAACATGGCCAAAAAATAGGATACCCCCAAAATCATCTGATTAGTTTGGTGACCATTGATGGCCATTGTCATCAAGTCGCAACAATATGAGATCTGCTAAAAATAGCTATCCTATGGTATCCTTAATTTCGCCTAGAACTAAACTGGCCACTTCTAACAGACGGAACAAGCTGCAGACCCGACGGGTCGCGGCTTTCTCCAAGGTTCCACATCCGCAGCACGCCTCCGTGCCAGCCGAGCCCCTGGATGTTTGGATGACTTTGACATATTATTCAAAGTTGATTTAGTTGATTTCCGAGCTTTTTCGGCCATTGTCACCATGTCACAAATGGCTCCTCATCTACATGAGTCTCTCTTCAACAGTTCAGTATTGTTCATCATTTTGTTGGGCTGGCATTTATTCGGGGGTAATCATCCCAAATTCAGATTTCGGACAGCGAGTCCAGTCAGCGAACTTGCCGAGGCTTCAAAACCTGGGAGGTGCGGAAGTGACCTTCAAGGATGAGGCCGATGAGGTGATAAAGCTTCCAGCCAGCAAGTTACCGGAGCTGCCCAAGGTGCCAACGCCAGGTTGATGTGGCGAATTGCTGCTGCTTCAGCTTCAGATGCGCGAAATGAGGAATGATTATATTAGATTATGGATAAATGTTTTGATTTATAAATATATTCATAGTGAAATCTGATGAATAGAGATTGATTCGTAAATGGCTTCAAGAAATGCTGTTGGGAAGCCAGTAATTTATCGTAAATCATCGGAAATCATAGGGCCATGGGGCTTGCCCCAAACTCCTGGCCGCTTTGCGCAGGTTTTCGATGCTCAACTTCTAGGCGGAGTGCTGAGACTCTCCCAGGATTTTACCACATCCTAATCCTATCGCCTAGTAATTATTAAACATCCCCCCAGAGTCATCAGGCGATGAAATCGTGACGTTTGCGACCATAGAGTGGGGGTGTTTAATGTGATGCATTGTGATGCCGTCACATTGCAGTAGCAGGAGGGGTCAGCATAAATCAACGTCAGCCTATAAGCCTCTAAGCCTCTAACCAGCCTATAAGCGTCTAAGCCCCTAAGACAAGAGATAAAGCAGAAAGCCTCTAAGCCTCTAAGCCTCTATATAAGCGCCAAAGTGATGAATACACACGAATATCGAAGAACCAGCCTCTAAGCCGCTAACCAGCGCCTAAGCGCCTAAGCGCCTAAGCGCCTAAGCGCCTAACCAGCGCCTAAGCGCATAAGCACCTAAGCGTCTGACCAGCGCATAGGCGCCTAAGCGCCTAAGCCTAAGCGCTTAAGCGCCTAACCAGCGCCTAAGCGCATAAGCGCCTAACCAGCGCATAAGCGCCTAACTAGCGCCTAACCAGCGCATAAGCGCCTAACCAGCGCATAAGCGCCTAAGCGCCTACCCAGCGCCTAAGCCGGGCCTAAGCGCCTAACCAGCGCATAAGCGCCTAAGCGCCTAACCAGCGCCTAACCAGCGCCTAAGCGCATAAGCGCCTAAGCGGCTAAGCGTCTAACCAGCGCCTAATCAGCTCCTAAGCTCCTAAGCGTTCAAACCTTAGAGGCTTTGAGGCTTAGAGACTTCGAGGCTCCTACAAAGACTTGCGCGTGACTTGGCTATACTGGACGGCAAAAGACAACTCTTCCAACTTGTTCCTCAGGGTGTCCCAAGTCTTCTGCACACGATCCGCATCGCTGTCGCTCTCAGCAGGCTCGTGCACGCACCTGCGCCGCCAACTGCAAAGACAAGCGCGTGGAAATCCACATAGCAAACAGTTTTTCTCGATTTTCTTCCAAATCTCCTGCTTGACCTCCTGCACATCCAACCCGACGGGTTCCGCACCTTCTTCTGTGTTCGAAAATTGCTCCTAATTTTCTATACCAAGATACCCTTCGGGTGTCAAACCTCCTCGACGCAGAGCCACCGAACCGCCTTCGTCAACTGGACGGCAAAGATGATCCAAAGCACGTTCCAAGCGAAGCCGCGAGAATAGAAAAGGCACTCGGCTTCCTTATGTGGATCCTTGTTGCGCCGCCTGATCAGCAACATCTTCATATCCCCCACTGCTGCGGAAATGTCCTCAACGAACTGAGGACCATTTTGAAACAGGTTACCCACGTGTGCCCCCGCAACTCGCATTGGCCTGTGCCATACAAAGTAAAAATACGAACAAGGAGTTGGATCGGGGACAAAATTTCTTCCTCGAAAAAAGTCAAGGCGTCCGTCTCTGGCAAGCTGTCTCCTGGGTCTGCATGATTTGCAGCAGTCAACCGAAAAGGTTCCTTCGGCAGCTGCGCCTTGGCACGTTCCTTCGCCTCATGCAAACAGTTTTCAGAAATCGGTCGACCGGGCTCCAGCCAATCCTTTTCAGGAGCCCGGCCAAAGTTGGTCTTCTGGAAAGCTTGGCTTTCAAGGCCACCGGGTATAGGCGACTTTTGCTGCGGCCTGTTGCAATGCCGAACCAGCCTTCCTTGCAATAAGAACAATCCTGAAATTACATCTCTAACATGTAAGCGTCCACTTCGTGAACGCGATGAAAAAAAGGCATGATCCGGGATTCTGCATCCGTGCTAATATTCCCATACAACTGCCGCAAGCTCTTGGGAAGCCTTGGGCGCGGCAGCTGATTCCCTAAAACAGTCTCTTCCGCATGCAGCTTGGCAGCGTGAACAGTCTTCACAGGCATTTGCTCCACCTTCTGCACCAGCGGCTCTAACGCCGCTTTGACTTGTTCTTGGTCTGCCTGCGCTAACTGACTCCAATGCCGCCGAATAAAATCATACCCAAATCGTAAATCTTCGTCTGTTTTCTTGTTGTGACCATAGCTGCTCCACGCTGCTGGCGCCAAGCATCTTCAAATCAGCCTCCCTACGTTGCAACATGCTCAGAAACTTGTCAACAAGCTCTGTCTCAGAGACACACAAATCGCATTCCCACCCTTCCACTTCTGCAACCTGTTGCCCCGACAAACGGTGTAAATATCATTTCTCAAATAAACGACAAAAACATGACATAGGAATGGATTGCATGTCTTTGCTCTCGAAAGTGTCCAGCAAAGCTTTCTTGTTTGTGCTCTCAATTGCTCACTGTGTTCGGCAACAAATGCCGTGACCCTGGCAAAACTCCGCTCCAGCCGGGGCAGAAAAGCCACCGACGTGTCGCAAAGCACCAACTCCCAATCTTCCAACAAATCGCTTTCTTCAACTGTCAGCAAATGAAAGTCACGAACAAAAAAGTTTTGGGCCTGCATCCACTCTGCATAGCTATGTGCTTGATTGCTCATGACAGCATCCCTCAAGTTCTTCTTTTGCAGCTGCACAATTTCATTTGCAAACGTTGCAAAAAATTCTTGTACACAAACCAATGCTGCCGCACGACGCGCGCTCGCTGCTTCACGTTTTGCTGCGCTCACTTCGCATAGCTTTTTTTCCCACACGGCCATGGCTTCAATTTGCTCTGGTGCCAGTTCGTCACCGTAGCGTTCCAAAAATACCCGGGCAAAAGTCGACATCGGAAATTGTAGCATGTGCCGGCTTCGCAGAGCAAGCTGTAAGTTCTTAGCTCCTATATTTTCACAGCTTCCCCTCGCTCCGTGAGAAGCGAATCAACACGCTTGAAGCATCTTTGGAGACGGGGCAGAAAAGCCACAGCCTCCAGCGTGGACACATCGCAAAGAATAAGTTCCCAATCTTCCAACATGTCTCTTTGCTCAACTGCCAGCAAACGATAATGACGGAAAAATAGTTTTTGGTTTGCATCCACTCTACGTAGCTCTTTGCCTGAGTGCTCATGACCACATCCCTCAAGTTCTGCTTTTGCATCTGCACAATTTCAGCTGCAAACTTTGCAAAAAATTCTTGCGCCTGCACCGATCCGACACACTTCGGCTTCCCACATCGCAATGCTTTCCTTGTGCTCTGGTGCAAAGCTTTCAGAATAACGCCCCAATAAAAGCAAAATGAAAACGGCCATGGGATCGCTTTTCACCTCTCTGCTGCGTAGCACACCCTGTAAGGTTTCGGCTCCAAGCTGCTTGGTGGTTTCAGCCTTTTGCAATAAAAAATGATGACCGCGGCCAAAGCAACATCCGATCTCGACATGTCACAAAGAGCAAATTCCCAGTCCTCCAATAGCTCTCGCTGCTCTGCTGCCAATGTAGCCACCTTGCGGTACCAAAAGTTTTTTGCTGCGTTCCACTCCTTGACCTGGCTGGCAGGATTACTTTTGAGCAGCGATTCCAAAGTTGGTTTCTGCAACTGCACGAGCTCTTCGCAGTAAGTTGCTAGAAATGCTACGGTTTTGCTGAAACCGTCCGCCAT